GGAACACACCCTCGCCGCTTCCCTCAGACTGGAAGCAGGCGCGGGTGGGGCAGGGAATGGAGGGACGCCGCGCGCCCGGATGCCATTGCGCATGCGCTCGGCGGCCCGTGCGCCTTTGCGAGAGGCTTGACTGAGGACTCCGGGACCTCCGGCGGCGTGGGGCGCAAGTTCCCCCGGCGCAAGGCGGGAAGGCGCGCGCCCAGCTGCGCTTTGACAGGTGCTTTGAAGCAAGAACTTTGAGGGCTGTCCCTCCCCGCTCCTAAAACTGTGACGCTGCCAAGCTAGAAAGACCCCTAAAGACCATCTCGGCCAACCATCTCGTTTTTAACTTACGGGGCGGCTGAGAAGACGGGAAATGGAGGTGCAGTGTAGAGGCCGAGGGGTGGGGCGGGGCGGGGTGGTTTAGCGGCAGTAGACAGACTTCAGAGGGAACCGGGGTTTTAACTGTTTGAAGAAGGGCATGCAACTGGGTCTCCTTCAGCCTTAGTTTTCTTCACTTGCCTGTAACGTTAGCCTCATAGAATTACGGGTTTCCTCATCGATTTGTTTTAAAAAGCATGAAAGACTGAGCTCGGAGCCTAGCAGACAGGAAGTATTGAGTAAGTGCTAGCTTGATGTTGAAAGAGCAGGTCTTGCCATCACACCCTACTCCCAACAGCTCGCCCACCTGGGGCGGCCCAGTGGGTGCAGCTGGGAGAGAATGGGATTCCTCACCTAGCGTGGTTTTGTGCTAATGGAATAGGTGTCATGGTTTATTTGGGGGAGAGGGGTCCAGATGCCTCAGCGCTCTCCTGCCTCAGTCCTGCCTCCACCGGGCTTTGCTGACCACTGTCCACGTTTCTCAGGGCTGGCGAGAAGGGAGGGAGGAACAAAATGAGAGGAGAGGTTTAGTCCGAGCTTCAAATGATAGAGCACTTGGAAGATATTCTTGCTCATTCTCCCCAGCTTTCCTCTCCTTTTACAAGTAATGAAAGTTCGCTTTAGAATTCCCAAGTTTTCTGTGGTGCCGATAGACATTCTCTGAATTAAAAAAAAATAATTTCTTTCAGGAAACACAGAAACCATGTAGAAAAATGAAGTTCTTTCCTCTCTCCTATGTTTGTGCCTGATCAGAAAAGAATTTAGAGTAAATTAAAACTACTTTTTAGTCACTTCTGTTGAAGGAGGTTGCTTTTAAATCAATCCTGTAAGTAACTCTTTCATCACTCACTTTTACTAGAAGTCACTTGAGGATTAGTTAATGTGAATGTATTTTGTTTACTGATCTACTGATAATTCACTTTTACTAGCAAGCACCATGCAAAAAACTAGTCTTTGAACTTGGATTAGGAATTTTAATGACATAATATACATTGTCATTAAAAGGACTTTGGACATTGTTTCAATTAAAGAACAAAACCAAAATAAACCCAATTAATTACTTGTGATTGTTTCATATTACATAAATTAATCTCTTTTCAGAAACAAGAAATCCATCCCATTTCTTCAGCGTAAATGTTTGTTGGTATGGGTGTCAGAGCTGCATCTTGCAAACCCAGCTTACAAAATTCCACTTCCAAGACCAGTGTCTTCATGAGGAAGAATGACTCTTAGGTAGGTTGGGAAGATTTAGAAGAGTCTGGCTTCCCCTGCAAGTTTGGCCCCATTTTAACTACTAAGCTTCTAGCCATTACAGAGATATCCTGTTTCTGAGAGGCAGGAGGTACGTAATACTAGGTTTGTTGAAAACACTGGATTTAGCACTTGAAAATGAGGGTTTGCATCTTACTCTGCATTTTCTCACTATGAGATCTTGAGGAAATCGTTAAACTTCGCTGAGCTTCAGTTTCCTCATCATAATCATATAGTAAATAACTAACTTAGGGTTTTGTTGTGAAGATTGAATAAGATGATACAGATGAAGTGCTTTGTAAAGAGCTATTATAAATGTTTTTAAATTGAAATATAATCCATCTACCATAAAATTCACCTTTTGAAGAGTGCAATTTAGTGGTTTTATTAAATTTATAAAGTTGTGTAACCATCATAAATTAGGTATTATTCTGAGTGGTGATTCTTAGAAATGAAGTCCTAAATTTATAATATGACTGTCTCTATAATCTTTGGCATGAATTATTTAAATATGATAATATGAAACAGTTATGTCTTCTTATTATATACACTGCTTCCTATGTGGAGAGGAAACCCAAAACATAACTCTAGAGAGGTCTTAAGATAGTGGATGGATCCTAAAATAGAAGGTACTTATCTCTAGTGCTTTATCATGTATAATCAATTAAATTTTTGTGAGGTCTTTTTGCTCCTACCTCAGTGATACACTGTCAAATGTAGTCTATCTGTTATTTCTAATTTTAGTTTAAAAAAATTTGTTGAGCAACAGACATTAATAACACAATATTATAATAATATGTGATATTTATTGAGCACTATTTTGTACCAAACATTGGATATTATTAGCCTCCCTTTACATAAGCCCAGAGAGGATTAAAAAAATTAGAGAAGAGCGGGGGAGTGTATAGTGCAGTGGTAGAGTGCATGCTTAGCATGCACGAGGTCCTGGGTTCAATCCCCAGTACCTTTGTTAAAAAATAAATAAAACTTATTAACTCCCCCCCCAAAAAAATTAGAGAAGATATCGTCTAATATGGTGGAAGAAGAAGAACGCCGGCAAGTTAAAATTATTGTAAGGCACCGCCAATACTTTAAATTTGGACTATTTTGGACTATATGGCTAAGAATAGATTTTTACAGAAGTTAGCTTATTTGAAAAAGCCCTCTAGAATATCCTTCTCCTTCTGCTCTGATTCTGAGCTATTTACTAATATGACTTCCCATGTTTCTTTTTTTGGGGGGTAGGTAATTAGGTTTATGTATTATTTTTTTAGAGGAGGTACTGGGGACCAAACCCAGGACCTTGTGCACTCTACCACTTGAGCTCTACCCTCCCCGACTTCCCATGTTTTTTAATACCCGAAAAGAGAGGCCTTGGATAGAGGATACAAGAATTTCTACTACCGGGAAGGAATATGATTTACATTAAATAATTAAATGACATTCCAGTTCATGCTTAAGGGACTAAACCATTTTTTTAAACTCTCGGTTATGGAAATTTCCTAACATACACAAAGTAGAGGGAATGTGCAGTGAATTCCTAGGTAGTTTTCACTCAACTCTTCAATGATTATTGATACTTTGCCAATTTTGTTTAATTTATTCTCCAAAGTTTTGGTGGGGAAGAGGCTGGAGTATTTTAAAGCAAATTCTACATATCTTGTCATTTTTGCTGGGTATCTCCTGTTTCTCTCTCCCAGTCCACTCTTTCTCTACCTCTCATCCCTGCTCAGATTCCCTGAGGCTTACCTGTATAGAATGCAGGTAAAGAACTCCCTTACCCAATAGCATGTAGTTGGGTTCTGGCAGTGGAGAGCATCACCAGGAGACTGGAGGAATGGAGGAGCTTAATACTTTGAGGTACTGTTTTTTTGGCTCCCTTTCTGAGGGTTTGCTGCAGCCAGGTGTCAACCAAATGTCACAACTTCTCTTCCCAGAGTTCCCTGTCTGGGTTCTGATGACCAAACCTTTTCCTCACCCTAGGCCTCAAAGTGGTAACAGTTGTTTTTACTAGTCCAGGGGTGCTGTGTTATCCTTTCTAGATTCCCTACACTCTTCGTACATCTTCAAAAAGGGTCCTTTTATTAAATTCTCTTTAAATTACCTGATTTGATTATGCTATTATTTTCTGCTAAAATCTGACTGAAACGTCATTTTACCCATAAACACATCAGTCTGTGTCCCTAATTAATATAGATACTAAAGAAAAAATAACCACCATGTCATTATCACATAAAACAAATTAACAGTAATTCCTAAGTATCATTTAATACCCAGTCCAAATTCAAATTTCTCCAATTGGTTAAAAAAAATCTTTTGGTAATTGGTTTAAGATCTGCGGGGGGCGGGGGGAGGTGTAAGTTGGTGTTAGAGTGCATGCTTAGCATGCATGAAGTCCTGGGTTCAGTCCGCAGTACCTCCATTAAAATAAAATAAATAAATAGTATAAGATAAACCTAATTACTCGCTCCTAAACAAACAAACAAAAAACCCAAAGATCCAAACAAAATCCATGTTGTAAAAATTATTGTGCCTCTTAGTTTTCTTTAGTTTATAACAATCTCTGCACCCCCCCATTTAGAAAATGTATGTTGTTGATTTATTGGAGAAACCAAGTTACTTGTGTAAAATGTCCCACATTCTGGATTTAGGTGATAGCTTCTACACGGTGTCATTTAACTTGTTCCTCTATCTCTTGCATTTCCTTTAAACTGGCAGCTACATTTAAATCTTTGATTAAATTTAGTTTCTTATTTTTCTTTTCTATTTTTTAAGGCAGAATACTTCATAAGTGTTGCTGTGTACTTGAGGTATATAATGTATAGTTGTTCCACTTTTGGTGGTACTAAGATTGATCAGAGATTTTATAAATTTACCAGTCTTCCAGTCTTCCATTTTTCAGTGTCCATTAATTGTATAGCTCTTTATGTTATGACAGAGGCATGAATCCATGGAGGCTGAGCTGGAGGCTGATCTAAACAACAGACCTATTGATGATTTTTTCACCGTTTCTTCTCCCTTCTGACAATGGCTCACATCCTTGAGCCGGGCTTGGGGACCCAGCTCTCTCTCAGGATGGCTTCTTTCCTAAGATGTTCCAGGAGCTACATATGGAGTCCTGAAGTCCTGACCTCTGTCATTTAGGTTAGCCTCCAGCTCAGCCTCCATGGATTCATGCCTCTGTCATACGGTAAAAGAGCTGTAATTGAAAAAAAAAAAAAAAAAAAAAAAAAAAAGAAGTCAACCTGCATAGAAACACCCGAACAGTGAAATACTGTTCAGTGACAAAAAGGGATCAGCTATTCATAATAGCCAAAAGGTAGAAGCAACCCAGGTGTCCATTGACACATGTATGGATAAGCAAAATGTGGTATAAACATACAATGAAGTATTATTCAGCCTTAAAAGAAGGGAATTCTGACATGTTACAAGTTGAATGAAACTTGAGGATATTATATTAAATGAAATATGCTAGTCACAAAAATAAAAATACTGTATGGTTCTACTTACATGAAGGACCTAAAGTAGTCAAATTCATACAGACATAAAACAGAATGGTGTTTGCCAGGGACTAGGGGAAGGAGGAAGGGGGAGTTAATGTTTAATGGGTGTAGAGTTTCAGTTTTACAAGAGAGTTCTGGAGATGGATGGTGGATTGCACAACGGTATGAATATACTTAATACCATTAAACTGTATACTTAAAATGGCTAAGATGGTAAATTTTATGTTATATGTATTCTACTACAATTAAAAAAAATTTTAAGAGATAAGCTATCAAACTAAGCAAAGACATGGATGTATCTTGAATGTATATTGCTAAATGAAAGAATAAAGCCTGAAAGGCTATAAATTATATGATTCTTTTTGTAGGACATTCTAGAAAAGGCAAAACTAGAGAGACAGAAAATAGATTAGTAGGGATCAGTAGGGATTCAGTGGGGGAAGAGAGTTGAAAAATAAAGCATAGAGGATATTTTCAGTGATGAAACCATTTGATATAATACTGTAATGATGGATATATAATACTATGCATTTGTCAAGACCCATGGAACCTTAATATGCAAAATTTAAAAATAATTTAGGGGATTGGAGGGTTCCAAGATGAAATAAAGAATGGGACAAAATAATTTAACTATATTATAAATGTATAAAACAACCTCACTGAAGGGGATGGGAGAAAAGGTACTGATCTAAGTAACTTTGGAAATGAGTGGAGTCTGAAATTAAATGCAAAAGAAATTCTACATCACACTGCACTCTAGTTGAAAAAGTTGTGTACCCATGGGATATGCATTAACAAGTTTGAATTCTCTCTCTGTATATACTGGAATTGAACAATTAAGTAAATGAAGAGCAGATTGTGGGAGTCAGGTTTCTCATTGCTAGAATGGTAGTTTACAGATAATCAAGGGGAGGAGGGTAGGAAGATCCATGTGGTAATGAACTAGAGTTGGAGATATCAGTATGAACTCATGTGTAGCTTAATACATAGATAGTTACATACAGAAATACTTGTAGATATGTATATGCATATGGGTTGGTATACATACATATATTTCCTTACTCTGTCAGTCAGGAAGGTAGATTAGCCCAAAAGCAATGAGTGCACCTAGTGCCCAGATCTTGGTTTCTAACAGTGTACTCCAATAAAAGGAACCAGGACTACTTGAAGAAATGGCTGATTCAAGGACTGGGGCAGGAAATGTACAAGGTGAGCCTGGAGCATTTTATAGTGCCAGAAAGTAAGAGAGTCCTGAAAGACAAAAAATGGAGTTATGTCAAAGGGACACAGTAGCCAACTGAAAGAGCTGGCCAAAGTTAGACCATTGAAGCAATAAAATAAAGTAGTACTGGATTATAACTCAAAGTATAAATTAAATTTCCATAAAACCATTATAATACACACAAATAATTGTATAAGTAAATAAATGGGGGAGTATATAAAATTCTCCAGTGCAGAGGAATTGCAGACAATTTATGT